AGTTACTCTATTGTTTATTTGTTTAAGTTATGTAAATTATTTTAGATGTTTCTTCTTTTAAATCTCCAATTAAGTATTACATTATGTAAGACTATATACTAATTTTGAAAATTAAAAAAGCTAAGGGGGGCGAATCTAATTAAATTATGAAAGTTTTATAAAAATATTACATATATGGTAAAAAAAAAATGAATGTCCAAGGGGGGCGGTCGCCCCCCCGCCCCCCCCCCCCTAAATCCATCCCTGTTTGCAGGTCTAGTCTGGTCTGTTTAAGTCTGGTCTGGGACTGAAAACAGTCCAAAAGAAAACATCCTAAGAACGATTACAATTATATTTTTATTGAAATTACAAATAATGGTAACAAATGATCATAAAACAATTAAGTAAGTTAACTCATCAGCTAAATTGAAAATACCAATTTGATGATACGTGAAAAAATTAAAACAATCTTTTGGATTTTTTGTTTTGTACTCCCTCCGTCCCTAAAAGAACTTCCAACTTTCCTTTTTTGTCCGTCCCAAAAAGAACTTCACTTTCTCTTTTTGGCAAAGAATTTGTGGTTCACAGCATTTTTCTCTCCTCTGCACAACTCTTGACCACACAATTCTCACTTTCTTAAACCGCGTGCCACTTTATTTTGGAAGAACATTTAGGGAGGGAGGTAGTATTATATATAACCATTCAAGCAGTAGAATAGTGCTTGAATTAAAAATGGGCAGAATAAAGCAACTTAGAAGTCAACACGAACATTAACAAATAACAAGCTTTTTAGAACATTTTGAAACAATATTCCAATTAGTTAATAAAACATAAACATTTAGGTGAGTTGAATTAAAAACAAACAAGTCATTTCTAAAGCACAGTAATGAATTGTTCAAAACAAAAACAACCCTTTGCCCATTTGGACCAAAAACTTTAAGCACACACGCACACAACATTATGCAATGGACCAAAATGTTACATATGACAAATAAAGGTTGTTCCACGCAGCTGCTACTCCACAAAAAATCCATTTCTAATTGAATCGCCATTTTAAACTTTTATACGAAGTATTTGTTTCACTTGGGTTATGCAACTGAGGTCTTTCCATTTGATAGCATAAATAAACCAGGCTAGTAATAAAAAGTTCTGATTTCAGTTCATGGTTGTACAATGGCGATCTTGCCAACAAATGATGGGTTTTCAAAATTACTTTACCGGCCATTAAGATGATGTGAAGTAACATTGTTTGATACAACAATCAAATAAGTATTTTTTAACAACAATAAATTAACAAAAATGGTTTAATGTAAAAAATATTACATAAAAATCTATGTATAACCTAACAAGACCGGCCGGGTCAGTCTTGAAACCGGTGAACCAACCCTTCAAGCGGTCCAGTTATGTTCTAAGCCGCAAATACAACCAAAACCGGAAAACCCCAAGAACCCGGCCTGCTCAAACCCGAACATAACCCGGCCCGCTTGGAAACCGGAAACCTGTTTGCAACCGCATTCCAGCCTGTGCAAAATTCCGTCACGAAGGGGAATCGATCCCTAGCTAGTGACATGCTTGAGCGTATAGGATACTAGGGGTGGGCAAAAATACCGAACCGGCATGATACCGAACCGGACCGGTATGGTACCGGACCGATAAACGGGGTTTGAAACGGATCTCAAAATTTTTTGTCCCGAACCGAACCGAACCGGTTCCAAACAATGCCATGACCGGTTCTCATAAAATGAGAACCGGTACCGGACCGAACCGGACCGAAGTATGGTCTATTAAATTTATACTACTATAGTTTATCTAAAATATATTAATTACCTCATCCGTCCCAAATTGATTTGCAAAGCCAACATTGTTTTTGTCAAAGTTAATGTTAAGTTCTTGATAATTAATACAATTTTTAAATAATTAAAATTTACATATTTAGAAACCACATTAAAATCTCTCTAAAGTTGCAAAATCCAATTTAAAATATACGAAGTACGGAATAGTTTTTTTGAAAGGCCAAATTAGAATATAACTAAAAAGTAAAATTCTAATTAAGTGAATAAAAGAAATTGTTTGATAAAAAAAGATTGACTTTGCAAATCAATTTGGAACGAATGTAGTATGATATATGAAAATTGATAAATTGTGTGGACTTTTTGGAGGATGGCTAAACTTTAATTTTTTCTTAAACACCTGGAAAAAGTGGCATTGTTTGGTATTGGTATGGCATGGTACCGTACCGTTTGAAAATGAACCGTACCGAACGGGTTTGGGTCTAAGACCGAACCGTACCGAACTGTTTCAATAGTAACGGTACGGGTACGGGTTCGGCCAAATATTGGACCGGACCGGACCGTGCCCACCCCTATAGGATACAGCCCAACTTACCAATTCTACTTGTTTGTCATAAATTTAACAGAAATTGCCCTAAAGAAGAGTTCGAACGTTTAAACTTCCAAAACATGACTATCATGTTTTTTATTTTCTGAATAAGAGTAATCTGTAAAACGAGGAGCAAGATGGGAAAGTATTTTCTGTATATTCTGCCTCTGATGATCCGTAGGATCCGTGCTTATATACAACACGCATGGGCACTTTACAAGGTGGAGTAGTACTGCCATGCGTAAATTAAGGATGAAAGAAAGGAAAGAATAATTGGAGAATAACACTCCTAATCTAATTTACACTCTACGTACATAGAACGTTACATGATAAATTTGTACAAATAATAGTAATAATAATAAATATCGGCTAACACCCCCCCTCAAGATGGAGCATGGGGGTCACAAATGCCCATCTTGCCAAGTAGATAGGAAAATTGTTGTGCTCCAAGGGCTTTAGTAAGCAAGTCCGCCGGTTGATCCGTAGTAGGCGTATAAGAAGGTTGAATGGTACCGGCTTGAATATGATCTCGTATAAAATGACAATCAAGCTCAATATGTTTGGTGCGTTCGTGATACACTGGATTTGACGCAATGTGTAATGCGGCCTGATTATCACAAAAGAGATGAACCGGTCCAGAATGTGTGACGCCTAGAGACTGAAGTAAATTTCGTAGCCAAATGAGCTCACACGTCAAGGAAGCCATGGACCGGTACTCAGCTTCCGCGGAGGATCGAGAAACAGTGGCTTGCTTCTTGGTCCGCCACGACACAGGAGAATATCCAAGTGATACAAAGTAACCTGTAACAGATCGGCGAGTGATCGGACAACTTGCCCAATCTGCATCACAATAGCCGGTGAGGGAGAGAGACGAATCAGAACGTAATAGAATCCCTTGTCCGGGCCGCCCCTTAAGATATTTAAGAACACGAAGTACTGCATCCCAATGAGCTACTCTGGGTTTTTGCATAAATTGGGAGAGAATGTGGACAGAGTAGCAAATATCAGGCCGAGTCAACGTCAAATATATAAGTTTCCCAACAAGTCTCCGGTATCGCTCAGGATCAGAAAAATGAGGACTAGAATCTGACTGCAATCGATGATTTTGTACCATCGGAAAAGTAACCGGCTTGCACCCTGATAGTCCGGTCTCAGTGAGGATGTCCAGCACATATTTACGTTGGCACAGAAAAATCCCTGATGGGTTCCTGGCAACCTCAATTCCGAGGAAATATTTCATGACTCCCAAATCCTTAACAGGAAATGTGGAGGCAAGATATGCTTTAAATTCCATTATCATGGTTCGGTCATTGCCAGTGATCAATAGATCATCGACATAAATAAGAACACATACGATACGATTATCTTTGCGTTTGGTGAACAAGGAATAATCCGCATGAGATTGTGTAAAACCATGATCACGTAAAGAAGATGTGAGTTTAGAGAACCAACATCGTGGCGCCTGTCGAAGCCCATATAAGGACCTCAGCAAACGACATACCTTGCCAGGAGAGGAGGCTGAATACCCCGGTGGTAAATGCATGTAAACTTCTTCGTGCAGATCGCCATGGAGAAAGGCATTATCGACATCCATTTGATGTAGCTCCCAATGGCGGGAGGCTGCTACCGCCAAAATGGTACGCACCGTAACCATCTTTGCAACCGGAGCAAATGTTTCCCCGTAATCAATGCCCTCCACTTGGCGATTCCCGCACACAACCAGTCGTGCCTTGTATCGCTCCACCGTCCCGTCACTTTTGTATTTGATTTTGTACACCCACTTGCAATAGATAGCTTTCTTCCCGGGTGGCAAGTCCTGGATTGCCCACGTCCCTGTACGCTCAAGAGCCTGAATTTCACGACTCATAGCATCCCTCCAATGAGGATCACGAGCTGCTTCTCCATATGTACTCGGTTCCTTAGTCATAGTGATAGCTGCAAGAAAAGCTCGGTGCGGAACCGAAAAATGATCATATTTTATATAATGAGATAGTGAATAAGGATTACCTGAATCCGCCGTGAGAGTAGGGACGCCGACAGGGGGAGAGTTTATTTTAACCGTGTTCATCTGTACTTCGTAATCATGATGCCACGCCGGTACCTTTCGAGCACGCTCACTCCGTCTGGGCAGTCCATCATTATCGGCATGGCCTGCGTCATCCATGTCATCACTCGACGTATCGTTTCCAGACCCAGTCTCATGATCATGTCCGTTATCCACCTCATGGCTTGAGTCAACCGCTTCCCTTCTTTCTGGCTGCACAATCCTTGTACACGTATCACTGCCTTCATACGTATGAGACATGTCATTGTTATCAACCCCATGCATAAGTGCATGCATGTCGTTCCTGGGAGGTGAGTCATGAGGCAAGATAGGTTCCCCCATTTTATAGGGAAATTCGTGTTCAATAAATTTCACGTCTCGTGAAATGAAGTGGCGTTGGTTTTGCAAATCATACACCTTCCAACCCTTTTGTGAATAGGCATATCCCAAAAAAACACATTTTATACCGCGAGGTGCAAATTTATCTCCTCCATGGTTGGGCTCACGTGCGTAACAAAGACAACCAAAAACCCTCAACTGTCTATACAACGGCATTTTGTTATATAGCAACTCATAGGGGCTTTTATTGTCTATCACGGGAGAGGGCAAACGATTAATTAAATATCCCGCTGTCAATACACACTCACCCCAAAAATTAATAGGTAAGTTTGCATGAAAACGGAGAGTTCTAGCCATTTCCAAAATATGTCTATGCTTCCGCTCCACTCTACCATTCTGCTGGGGGGTATACACACAACTGGTTTGAAAAATAATCCCATTAGTCAAAAAATATTCCTGCAGACTAACAAATTCTTTTCCATTATCGCTTCTCACAACCTTCACATTTTTATCAAATTGTCCCTTGGTCATGACTATGAATTGTTTAAGAATATTTTTTACTTCACTTTTGTCTTGCATCAAGTGCACCCAAACAGCTCTAGAAAAATCATCCACCACAGTAAAAAAATATCGAGCACCACAAGTAGACATAACACGATAGGGCCCCCAAATATCACAATGTATTAACTCGAATGGTTCAATAGCTCTAGCATTACTAACAACAAAACTATCACGTGTTTGCTTGCCTCTTATACAAGCATCACAAACTTTATTTTCAACAGAACGCAACAACGAATTATTTAAATGACCAAGCAAACGGAGTACTTTTATTGACGGGTGACCCAACCTTGAATGCCACAATCCACCTGAGTCTGAACTTCCCACTGCATATGCCTGAGCTCGATCCAGACCCCGGAAAAAATAAACTCCCCCTCGTCGTTCACCCACTCCAATCGGCATCCTCGTAGGTAGGTCCTGTATTACACACAAATCATTAGTAAAAAATACATCACATTTTCGGTTATCAATCAACTGAGCCAAGGAAATTAATTTGCATTTTAATCCAGGCACGAGCAGAACATTAGTTAATTCTAGGCTTGTACTAAGAGCCACATTTCCTACGTGAGTGGCTTCAGTACACTCCCCATTCGGTAATATCACGGCCACAGGTGCTATACGCACTAAATCTGTCAATGCTTTATTATTCCCGGTCATATGGTACGAGGCTCCAGAGTCAAGCAGCCACTCAATATCAATTTTCATACCTGTGAGTTTTTCTCCCGAGGAAGATGTCTTACAGTTTTCCATCAGTTTTATAAGAACCTGCCATTGTTCATCGGTGAATCCCGGCTTATGCAAGACCATCTCCTTCGTTCCTTGTGCCGGCGTGCCATCTCCCTGGAGTTCACCCACATGCATGGCATGGGCAGTCCCACGTCCAGTTCCTCTGCCCGTTCCTCCACGTCCAGCCCCGCCACGACTGGACCCTCCACGTCCTCTTCCGCCGCGAGCCCGTCCCGGGTTTTCATACCACCACTCCGGGTAGTTTCCAGTGCGTCGAAAGCAATTGTCAAAATCATGCCCAAACTTTTGACAATAGGAACATTTTTCTCGTTCATCCTTCCCACCAGTTGGTCCAGTGCGTGCAACAAAGGCTACTGCTTCATGCTTCTGTTCACGTCCCCGGGTCAGACTTTGAAGTCTTTCTTCTTGTACAATCATGTTGTACACTTTAGTCAATGACGGTAAATCATCCGCTCCGAGTATGTTGGACCGCAAATTACCATAGGTCTCGGTGTCAAGGCCCATCAAGAAATCATGGGTTTTTTCATTTTCAATATATTTGATGAACAATTTTTTGAGATCACAAGTGCAACCATTGCAGGTACACTGGGGAAAATTCCGAACGCCATCGTAGTCATCCCAAAGCGTCTTGAGTCGCCCAAAATAGGTGGTGATTGGCTGCCCTTGTTGACGGCAATTTCGAATCAACTCCTTCAATTCATGAGTTCTCATTGCATCTCCAACAGAGAAGCGTGCCTCGATGTCGTTCCATAAGTCACAAACACTGTCCATATAGGCCAGATTAGAACGAATAGCCGGATCTGCCGAAGTCATAATCCAGCCCACCGCCATGGAGTTGACGGTGTGCCAATCTTCGAGGTCCTTTTCATTGTTCACCGGTTGTTTAATGGTCCCATCCAGAAACCCTAATTTCCGTTTTGCACGGAACGCGTTCTTCATCGCCGTCGCCCATTCCCGATAGTTGTTCTCACCCTTGAGAGCAACCGCACAGATGTGTAACCCCGGAAAGTCCGAACTCGACAGGTAGTATGGTGAGGAAGGGTCGTTGATTTTCCTCCGTTCACCTTGTTCACGGTTTCCTTCACCAAAGCTCCCTGTCTGGCCAGCCATCTTCAGTCACGAATTGCGCGATTAGTCGGTCCCAAGATCAGCGCTCTGATACCATGTAAAATGAGGAGCAAGATGGGAAAGTATTTTATGTATATTCTGCCTCTGATGATCCGTAGGATCCGTGCTTATATACAACACGCATGGGCACTTTACAAGGTGGAGTAGTACTGCCATGCGTAAATTAAGGATGAAAGAAAGGAAAGAATAATTGGAGAATAACACTCCTAATCTAATTTACACTCTACGTACATAGAACGTTACATGATAAATTTGTACAAATAATAGTAATAATAATAAATATCGGCTAACATAATCTGCCAAATTTGGAAAAAATATCATGTTTAAAGCCTCCAGTAATGCCAAACTTTGCAGAAATTTACTCTTTTTAAGGGAACAAAAAACATGATAGTCCTATTTTGGAATTTCAAAACGTTTTTACTCCTATTTAGGGAATTCTCTCTAAATTTAACTTATTGGTTATTATACTTAACTAATACGGAGTAAGTTAATATTTTTTTACAATAAAAATTAATGAATACATAACAAATTAAATATAATACTCGTAATACATATCAATCCCATTACATATAAAACATTCCAGTATTAGTTAAAATGCTTATAAAATACTTTTAACATATTATAATAAGTGTATTCTCCAAATTTATTTTTGAACAATGTAGGTTATACATTTAAATATTTACTATTAAAATAAAATCAAATATTCAAATATAAATAGTTTATATATATACTTTTATAGAGGAGTTTATAGATATACTTAATAAGCATTAAATAATACTACTGATTTAAATAGGCCTAAAATTATATTCTGTATTTTAGAGTATGATGAATGTGTGAATATATTTGAATATTAAATATTCATAAAGGTTTAATAATTTTTTTACAATACTATATTTAAATATTCAAATACTTTAAGACTACAAAAATATCGATAATATTTGTTAATATAACAAAATTGCTGAGTAAATATTAGGGTCCCTAAACAGTAATATTATCATTATTATTTTATCACAGTGAAGAATAATTGCTTTAAACTTTTTAAATATATTAATATATGCCTATTACTACAAAACTTTATGCAACAGTTGACCGGATTTTACGGCGTTGCCCGCGTTGATCCGCCGGATCTAGGTTGACCCGTGACCCGATCATTCAACCGGGTCGCTTTCCGGTCCGGTTTTTACAACATAGATAAAAATACAATATATAAATTATTATATTAATTATTTTATATTTTATTTTTATGTAAAGACCATCCGCCATTGTGGTTGTAAGGTTTTGATTCCGGTCCAATGCCATTTCTATTTTGAAACCTAATTTTTAGCTAATAATGAGAATTGAAACCTTGTACTCATCATAATAATTTTTCACATTTAGCTAATAATCAGAATTAATGATACAATAGTATACAATATAATTGAGTTCAAATATAATTGGTAAAGGATTAACATACCACTTGGCAAATGCGAGGAAAATTGAAGAGAAAATATCTTTTCCTCCTTTCTCCCCGCGATCGTCTTTGAGAATATGGCGTTTTTGTTTCCGGCGTTCGGAGAAGGTTTAGCAATGAAGTTGCGTCTCCTTCGCTTGATTTCAACGTTCAATTCTACCGTCGAAAAACAGAGCTTTGCCGCAGGGATTAAAATGCAAATAAACGGGTTTTGTATAAGTGTTTAAGAAATCCATGTTCAACATCTTTATGAGAGTCTTCCAGAGATTGCACACACTTATGAATTTCAGGAGATGATTTCTATCGAAAAGAATGGGGCTACGCTACTCATCTTCGCCGGCTTTATAGTCGCAGGCGCAACAAATCTCCCCTTTTGTCGGCTTCATACTAGAAGGTCTTGGCCTTACGCTTCTTAAAAACTACTACTCCCGTACTTTTCACGAGAGTGGATCATAAAATAAAAGACTTAACAAAAATTGTCAATTTAGTTCTCGATAAGAAAATTTTAAAAAAGTCAATTAAATTTTCAAACTTTTGAAAAAAGTTCAATTCAATCAGTTGGCAAGTTTACAACTTTACATGTCATGTGAGCATGTCATCCACTGATGTGGCGCACACGTGACACTCTATGTCTATGCCACGTCATCGGTAAATCGCTGAGTAGGCTTCCTTGAAGGGGAGGATCTATGTACATGCTAGGATAGGCTGAAGCCCAGGGCAACTTAGAAATTTTTCAATTTTTTTAGTGTAATTTTTTTCATTTTTCACAATTAGCCGACCCCACTGATATTTGAGTCTAGTATAATTCCTATTCAGCCCAGGGCGTCTCAGATTCCTGGATCCGCCCCTGCTTCCTTGTATGTATCACGCCAACAAAGCCAATGATGACGTGGCAGGAAACTTGCTAATGGATTCGATTGAACATTTTTACAAAATTCAGAGATACGAATATATGAATGGTTTTTTTAAAGTATGAAACTTTTATGGATTTTTTCGTGATAGTATGAGAACCTATGAAGCACGGATACTTCCCTAGGGTAGCGTATCGGCGTATCATATACGTTTCCATATCCGATACTCTAGGATACCCGTACCGTACGTTCCCGGGCCGTATCTGTAATTTTTAAAAGTTTCCATTTTTTTTTTGTAATTTTTTGAAAGTTTCCGATACTCGTATCCTGACAGATACCCGTATCAACTTTTAAAAAAAAATCCCAAAATTTACTTAATAAAATTCTTAAAAAAATGAAAACCTAAAACTACATTTTACTTGGTAATCAAATAATGGGCCTATATGACTACCCGAATTAAGTCATTAACTCATACTTCGAAGTGGGTACTTGCACTTTTAATTTCAAGATTGTACTTGTTTGACTTATTTCTCATTTTAAATTAATGACTTATTGATCGACTACATTTATATTTCGAGATGCACTAGTGTACATGAGAAATATTATGAATCTATTACTAAATATCTTGAAAAAGGAAAATGCTTCAATGCAATGAATGGGTAGACATCATAGGATATTATATGTGTGTATTTATATATATATATATTCAAAAAAATAATCTATTTTTAATATTTATAAATAGACCCCTATAACTTTTAATATTTGTAAATACACCCCCATAACTTTTAATATTTATAAATATGGCCCCGTATCCGTATCCTACTTTTTTTTGTTTTGACGTATCCCCGTACCCGTTTCTGCGTTTTCACGTTTCCGCGTACCGGTATCGGTGCTACATAGATGAGAACCTAATTGACAGTTTTCCCTTAATTAATATCATTCAATTTATCCAACATTTTACTGTTTTTTACTGATGTAGGTCTGCACCATATATGGGCCATATGGCTGATACTTAGAAAATCATATTTTTAAAGGCAAACAATGTGAAGTACTGAAGTCACCTTTAAGTTTTGGAAAATTTTACCGTGCACTTACATTAGAGAACGTTTTGGTGCATTCCCCAATTGGCAACATCTTATTGGTAGATTGGTCCAGCTCATTTTAAAAAAAAAAGAATAGGTTTATTGCAAATAGGTCCTTCCATCCCAATCCATTTTATCATTTGTGTTATCGTGCAGTGAGAGATTAACCTCAAGCGGCGTCTGGGAAGCGAAGGCAGCGAGAGACAAAATCGTTAAAGCGGCATGTGGGAGAGGACGAAACCACGGAATCCAGGACCAGAGAAACGAAAGTCCATGGCAACGACATCATCCCAGGTAAGTGTCTAATCTTCAATTTTTTCACTTTTCACTAATTATGTTAAAGTTATTATCCCTAATTTGATTTGCATTTTTATTCTGAATTGGTTTAGACTTTAGAGTGGTTTTGCATTTTTCCACGTGTCCTGTACTTTTCCATGTACTATATCCCAGAGGACCCAGTAAAGTCATCTTGAAGGGGTTCAAAATACATTTTCGGGGTGAAAATTATTTTTCTATGGGACGAAAATTATTTTTTGTACATATATACATTAAAAATAAATTTTGTTGGAGGGGCGGTAGGGGTCTACTACGGTCCGCCGCTGACTGTATCTCTGTTATACTCCGTAGTTTTTTGTTGTCCTGAAATGACCTTTTGATAAGTCTGAAGCTCCTCTGATGAACTTACAAGAAGAAATAATTTATGTCGTTTTTACCTCACATAGAATAGTTGAATCTGGTTCCTTATGTTTTTATTTTGAAACCTATGAACTATAGGTTGGATCTCTCATGTGTGGAGGTGCATTTGGTTAGTAATATTATTAAAAGCGAGTTGTATTATTCTAGAAAGTGAACATGCCATTTTAAGGTCTCCTTTGAGGTTATGTGGATGAATTTAAGGCTACTCATTCTGCTTTAAAGGCTATATAAGTAATAAGGCAGAACTGTGTCACAATCTTTGTGTTTAGCATATACTTTGTGAAATTTATATAATTTAGTCAATAGAAAAAAGTAAAAGGAGAGATCATGAAAAAGTAAGAGAAGCTATGTAGTTCAATACATTTGTGTGTAAACAACGTAACCGGGCAAGTAACATAAAAACTTATGTAAAAGAATAAGAGAAGAAAGTAAGAATACACTGAGGTAGTGCCGCATCATATATTATGCACATTTAAAGGATTTTAGAAAGACGATTTTGACATTGGTAATATGAAGCATGAAATCATTGTTCAATACCATTGCCAGATTTAAGCCTTTTATTTTACTATTGTTAATGTGATATTGTGATATGATATAGATTGTATAATGTGATATAGTTTTTTATTAATTGTCTATTTTATGGTGTTTCCTTTGTGCTAGAGATCGAGAATAGCACTCTGGTTAAAGGATTATATGACACAGAGCCAAGGGGTGTCAATCCTACCTGGATCTACCATCTTCTAATCGTCACATAAGGCCGTGTAGCGAGAATAGTGTCACTTAAATATGTTTTTTTTTTAAATAAAAAAAATGTCATACGGAGTGTTACGACCTGCCAACAACCCGTTACTTCCAGTTACCGCTTAATTGGCTCCGTTTTTAGCCCATATTGGCTATTTTTCCATGCCAACCACGTATTATCAAATTTTAAAGGCCAGCCAAACATTGATATGCAGAGATTCCTTCTTACCATCAGTTTGAAATCGTCGTCCACTTGGAGAACTTAGTGTTTTTCCTAACCTCCTTCAGCTCCAATTCTTCTGGCTAAGCATGTCTTTAACCTCCTTCGCCTCAAATTCTATGATAGGTCCTAATATGTTCTTTGAATCAGCTATATAAGGTGAACTTGGAATAAAGTCTCCTCTTTGTGTGACAAAGGAAAGTGAACGCAAGTTTTATGGGTGTCAACAATGGAAAGTAAGCGATCTGAACCTGTGATATGCTAAATGTAATCAGTTGGGGGATTTAAAAATGGTTGTAGTTAGAATTTATGGTAATTACACTAATTTGTCAAAAAAGTGGATATCGTGTTCATAAATAAGGATGAAATATTTTGATGTTTTGATGTAATAGTTTGTTGTAGGAAGGAGGATGCATATTCTTTGCTGGGAAAGAAGAAAGTGAGTGACGGAAAAGTTTCTGGATTGAGGTACAAGTGAAAAGGTTAGTTGTGGAATTAAGAGAGCAAATGATCAATTTTCCTCGTGAAGTTAGTGAGCTAAGAATTGCACTGAAAGCTGAAATGGAAGAAAGGAGGAGTTTTAGATCATTAACTACTTTTGTAATAGTGTTTGTTGTGGTAGAAATGGCTAAAGTGACCTGTGTAATACAAGTAAATGACCGTGTATTTATAAGACTGGTAGCTTATTGTCCGCGTAAGTTTAGATTTGGGGATCAGAAGGCAATATGCTGATTGTTAGCTTAAATTTTGGATTGGTGATTCTACAAGATGATTATATGTGTTTTGACTGATTTATGAGGCTATTTTGTTTATTTTTTGTATGAATATGTATTTTTTTTTTGTATGAGGCTATTTTGTTTATGGTGTCTAAATTATGTCTTAGATTTGTGAATGTATTTATCACTTGTTTAGGGATATGGTGTATGAATTATCTCTTGAAATATATAGAGTATTCTGGAATAAATTTTGTATGTATTTGTAGCTTTGATGTTGTTTGGTTAAACAATATAGATTCACAATGATTTGTATATAAAGTGTAAATCAAGAATGTTTCTGCAAGTCTGCATCTACATGTATATGAGCAACAATATAATTGGGCTGAAATTGCATAAAATCAACAATGGTGATTTCCTTGAAAGTGCGGGAAATTCAAAAACACCAAAACAGACAATTAAGGGCTTAAGCATGTATGATTTGCCAAAAACGCTGATTATGCAAGTATGGTTACCCATCTCAACATTATCAGCAAGACTGCAAAACTAGATGGACTTTAATTAATTAAACATGACACCAGATTCATATAATTTCAGCTTCACATTTTAAGAAATAATGTTTGATAGATATGGAATATATGTCAATGAGGCTCAATTACGGTCCAAACAAGATTATAATGTTTTCGAAATCACACCCAGAGAAAAGACGAAATCAGGGGTCCATGAGTCCATCCGTCCATGAATGGTTACCCCACTTACTCCTTAGAGTATTTGAAATTCAATGCACAGATCAATAACCAACAATCACAAGCATTCATCCCAAATCTAGATAAATTAAATAAACATAATTTCTTGTATTCGTCTTCACATAGACACCGAATCAAAAGACCAAATGAGAGTACATTACAGAGACCACATCAAAAGACGAAATCACATTATAGGGTTAACCTTAACACACTATACAAAGCTAACATGAGACACATGTACTGGGTACGTAGCAGAATATAAAGCTAAGAATTACATTACAGAGAGAAAAATGAATTACATTACAGAAAACAAAAACAGA